ACTAACATTGAAAGGCCACATCCCAGCTAATGGAAAGATCTGGCAAAACTTGACATTAACCAATCTTTCAGCTTTGGCCTCTGCATCTGCAGGTATCCTACAGTAAATTATAGTTGAGCCAAATGGTCACAATATTTCCTTGGAGTTAGCTGATCAGAATCTGAGACTTGATAGGATTCATGTCCTTATCATGAAACTATCTTTAAAACTGCAATGACTACACTGTCATTGGCTAGGGTCAACTCAACCTGCCTTGACTGAGTGCTGAGAAAATACAATAAGTAATCTTGCTTGAGTGAATCATCATAAATTGAGTGAGTTTATGAGGCTAATTAACCACACAAATCCTGCTTATGCATATCATTTGCTTTTTGTCTATTCCATTCCATAAGTTTCATGCAGTGGTCTTCTCATTGTTTCCTTCAAGAAAAAGTATTGTTAAAAAAATAAAACAAGAGTTTACATTAAAACAAAAGTTTATGTTTCTCACCATTTGGAGTGAACAAAATACTAATCAAGTGGTTACATGTGGTAGTAACCACAATGTATTTGACCATTTGTGTTGGTTCACAAAGTCTTTTATTAGCAGAACAGCAAAATAAAACTTGACAACTTCAGAAACAGAAACTGGATTCATATAACAGACAAAATTCTTTAAAACAATCATTAATCTTTTGGACTCTGAATTCATATCATTTTTTTTACTACATATTGCCTTTTGAGCTTTCTTATATAGACAAAAGTTGTACTGAAATACTTATAACACTACTATATATTGCACTTAAATAATCTTTCTTTTTTATGGAAGCAGCATAATCCTTGTACTTTTGAAAAAATGGAAATAAAAATAATTTATGGATGATTACTGTGCACCAAGATGTCTATTTTCACATTTTTTTTTTTACTAATGTTCACCCTATACAAGCCCCAAGAGACACTCAAGGTAGAAGGTTACTGAAGGCTTTTGTGGTGAGAGCGGTAAGAGTAAAGCATACAGTTTATGTGGATATGTGAGAAAGATATCGGTTAACTGTAGACTTGAAGAGTTAACATTGTAGTGGTGAGAAAAGCATCCTCTTGGGATTCTGTTCCACAAAGCAACAGTTCTTGGGAAGAAGCTATCTGAGTGGAACTTACTCCAGATATGGCAGCAATACTCCATTTTCAGCCTGATCTGGCTCTTGTAAAGGTAGATCATGGTAGGAGTCAGGTGCTTACTGGAGCAGTACAGGGAACCAACTATGTTTCCAGCATCTTTAGTGCTTGTTAGATTACAAATTTGTCTCATTTCCAATCTAGTGTGAAATTTATTGCTTCATTTAAAATATTTCTTCAAACCATTGCAAAAAGCTAAATCTATGGAAATGAAAACTTTGAGCAAAATATTTTCCCACAAATTTTTACATGAACATACACAAAACTGACTGATTTGAAAATGGGTTGGTGAGGGCTGATAGTTTTTTGTTGCTACTCTCTAGGGTTGATATTTATGAGAAGGTGGTTTGCCAAAGTGCTCATTCAGTCACCACTTTCTTCATCAACCATTGTATTATGCTAGTGAAAAGATATGATGTCAAAATAACTGGTAGTGAGACATAACAGGAATAATTGGACTCATGCCTTTTCTAATTGTATTAGTATAAAATGAGCATAAATTGCTTCAGCCAGAATTTGAACTCTGTTTGCCAATTTGGTTTTCTGTTTTATTAATTATTATGTCATCATATGTCAATCAAAAGTCATTGTTTCAAACTATAATGTTAGGAGTAAACAATTGTATTGAAGCATTTGAGTTATCACTTTCAGGGGTTTACAAGAATATACATCTGTTGCTGCCATATGGTGACTATTACACTAAACAGGTTAAAAATGAACAACATTAAGTGACAATAAATACTATTAATACTACAATGAGAAATACTACCAAAATAATTTGAAGTAATGAGTATTTGGTTTAATATGGCACAAAACTACATGTATGAAATACTCCAAGAATGTAGAACTCACTACAGTCATAACACCCAGTGAGTATAGATACTCACTACATTTATAACACCTAGTGAGTACAGAACTCGCTACAGTCATAACAGACAGTGAGTTTAGAATTCATTACAGTTGTAATACTGAGTGAGTACAGAAATCATGACAGTCATAACACCCAGTGAGTACAGAACTCACTATAGTCATAATGCTTGGTGAGGATAGAATTCAATACAATCATAACATCCAGTGAGTACAGAACTCATTACAGTTGTAACAACCAGTGAGTATAGTACTCAGTATAGTTCTAACACCTAGTGTGTACAGAGCTCACTAAATTCATAATACTCAGTGAGTATAGAACTCAATAAACATTGTGCATAGTACTTCCTCATGTTACATCCATCCTTATAGCTACCTTGCATATTACTTCCTTATGTCACATATAGCCTTATAATGACCCTACACAGTATATGTCCGAGTAAACATTTCAGCACCTTGTCATAGAACAATGGTTATGAATCTGATCTTGGAGACAATTACAACTGTATTGAATTCTATACTCATTGGATATTATGACTAGTGATTTCTGTACTCACTGGCTGTTATGACTGTAGTGACACCCAGTGAGTATAGAACTCACTACAATCATAATACCTAGTGAGTATAGTACTCATTTGTAACACCCAGTGAGTATAGAATTCATTATAGTCATAACTCAATACGATCATAACACTCAGTGAGTACAAAACTAGCTACAGTTATAACATCCAGTAAGTATAAAACTCACTACAATCACAACACCCAGTAGTACAGAACTCACTAAAGGCATAATAACCAGTGAATAAAGAACTCACAACAGTCGTAACAGCCAGTGAGGACAAAACTCACTTGTCATAATACCCAATGAGTTCAATACAGTTGTAACTGTCTCCAAGATCAGATTCATAACCATTGTTCTATGATAAGATGCTGAAATGTTCACTCAGACATATACTATGCAGGGTCATTACAAAGCTATATATGACCTAAGGAAATAATATGCACAATTTTTATCTGATTTGTATGTGCAATGAGATATCAAGATGAAAATTAAGGATTATTACATAAAACTCTACATTTCTAATCATTAAAACTAGAGTGGAGTACCATCTTGTACTAAGTGAAGACTTACAGAGAAGCCATACCATGATACACCAAGTGTTGCTGAATGTACACTTAATTTTAGATAATATATTATTTTCTACTTGATGAGGACTTATAAGCATGCTCTTTACTGAGTGTTAATTACACAGTGAGGTAGCACCAAAGAGGGTGCTAGAAAGTGAGGTACTATGTTGTATTGTGCAGATATCTCTGAAATGCTAGACATGGTTATTGCATTTTGAAGAGGAGTACATTTGTAATATATTTAGCAGCATGGCTTAGCCAACAAAAATTTTAGATTGTAGATGAGATGACATGACATGCTTTGATAACTTTGATATAGCTTATATATGTGGACTAAACTAAGTAAAAGAGAGTAGCAGTGGTAGGTTGACTCAATGGAATAGTTGAGAGAAGACCACTGAAAAAGACTGATGTACTGAGCAGTGCAGCCCAAGTAAGAACATGGCCTTTACATGTAGTTAAAATAGTCAAAGTGCATAGGAAACATTTTGCCTCTTGTTCAAGATTTCTTCTTTTACTGTTGTGAGTTTTCCATCTTGTATACTTCAAATGAAGAGTAAAGAAAAACCATGTTATATATTTCTGAAGTCCCTCCATTAAGACCTATTATAAAACCTGACTTATTTCAAGTCACACTCTGAGTGCTACCAGTACCATATAACCCAGTACTACCTGCCACAGGGTCAGGTCATTGGCAACTAAACTGGTTCCCTAACCTGGGAGAAGCATGGTTAGGTATGGTTAGGCACACAGTGGAATTAAATAAAAAACCTGTCAAAGGGTGGATGAACCTTCTTCTAAGGGAACATCCATCTAGCACAATGGAATAGACTGGGTTCCATAGCTACATATTCAGCCTGTACAGTGATGACATGGTATCAATGGTTGGAGGGTTTCCTAGACTGAAGTTAACAACCAGGGTGAAGGTTACCCTTGGTGGAATCAATGACCACATGCCTCCAAATTAGAGGACATTGTGGTTTGATTTGGTGAGTGATGGGCTCTGCCAAGTTTACTTGCCCAAGACATGCTACACAGGAATGAGTACTTCTCTGGCTTTCAGAAATGTGGAAAGAACTGATCAGGTGCTCAACTGTGCAGAGATTCTACAATCACACACAGTCATAGAACTGATTATGACAAGATAAGAACATTGGCCATCAAAGAAGATAGTAAGAGAGAAAGAGATGAAAAAACTTAAAATTTTACATTTAGTAATACAGAACAAATTGTTTAGATTGCACTTTAAAATCTGCTTAATTTAGAAATAAACTGACAGCAGAGATATTTATACTCTTGGCTTGCATTTGTTTGAAAGATTAATCTAAATGAAATGTATGCTGTCTTTTTGACATTTACTAAGCTTAGGTTAACACAGGGCTTATTGGTAAGATCATGTTGCACTGATCTTCCTTTAAAGACAGATGTAGGTGTAGAATAAAGGAAATTAATTTGTTAATTATATAAAGTGAGGTAAACTTATTATTATTATTTTTATTATTGTAAAACCAATTTTTATTTTAGTAAAACCAATTTGGGGGATCAAGGATTTTAATCACTGTGCACTTCTTTGATTGATTGATACATTTTCTATGGCTTATCAACCCTTTGCAGGTTATTTAAAGTCAGAAAATATTTTTAGATTGTAAGAATGTTTTTTGGAGTGGGAGATAATAATGATTTAGAGATACAAGTCTTACTAATTAACCCATTGCTGGGCAGAAAAGAGCTGAATTCATACCTTCCCACTGTATTTGTGTGTAAGTGTAACACACCCAACTAGAAATGTAACTCAGCTCTCCAATTAACAATTCCAAGCCATTAACCATTACACAACCTGTACATCCAACCTTACAGCACCTGGTATTCCCAAGTGGTCACCAATCTAGGCACTGACTGGGCTCAATGTTGCTTAACTTTGGTGATTGTACAGGAACTGGTTTTTCAATGTGATGTGTCTGTAAATGAATGTGCACTGGTATTGCTTATTAAATAACTAAAAAGAAATAAATTACAACATTTTTGTTAAATTTAAATTTATCTAAAATATTGTAACATATCTAAGAACTTCTTTTTTTAACTGAATAAACATTAAATCCAGTTAAAAATGTTGGAATTTGTAAAAAATTAGTCTGCAGCCACTCATTCCTTTAAGAAAACTGTTTTTTGTGTGTCCAGACTTGATTGGGCTGAAATTTGGTACACACATAATTGTTTCTTTTTGTATTTTGGAATCATACTAAATTGTTATTGGCAATAAAAACATTAACATGCATTTGATAAATAGTTATGTCATAATGTAATAGAGTTACTTTCCTTTTTTTTTCTTTTTTTTTTAAAAAGTTTTTGAAGAATTTAGTCTTTTGCTTGAAAATTTGAACTGATTGACCCAACTAGAGAATTAATACTCAAAGAACCAATGACAGATTTATTTTTTCTCTGTTATAATTTTGTTGAAAAAAGAGAAGTTACTTTTGGATAACAATAATGAAATCACAGGATGAAGATACACTCAAGTATTGACCAATCCAATGTGATATTGTCTCACCCAATCAGCTGAGAAGACAGATTCAAAAATGAGAACCAGTCAGTAAATGCTTTGTTGTTTTGGGGCAATATGTTCATTCTGCATTGAATGTAATCCCTAAGATATTTGAGCAATTACTGATCAAACTGGAAGAATTGGCCTTTCTCTTTTAGTTGAATTTCTTCAATTAATAAAAGAAATCTAATATGAGAATGTCTCATTTTCCATCCTGCTCTTTCAATTTATTTTTGTGGTTTGAAGATAAACACCAACAAATCTTTACTTTTAACCATTCAGTTTTGGCAGGAAAGTGATCTTTACAGATAGCAAAGGAAGTAAATGATTTGGAATTGGAAAATTTTCTTTAGTATCTCACATTATGTTCAATAGTTTCATTACTTTTACCTTTTTTAAAACAGTGTGCTCAGCTAGTTTGAAATGCTTCCAAATAATGTAAGCCCAAAAAGCCAATATGTTTGATATATCTGCCAAGAATTAATTTCAGGAGATACACAAATCAATCAACAAATAAAGGCAACAAAAATCATTTTCTGATTAATTCTATTTACTGCTGTGTCTTTTATTGCCTGGCTTATTTAATATAGATGAGTAGCTCAAGGTGAAAACACTGAGCTGGTAGCCAAAAGATCTCTAGTTCAATCTCTTCTATATAGAAGAGATTGATTTCTGATTAGTACACAACTATAAATAAACATGCGAAGATCTCAGAATAGGGAAATAACCAATTGCTGTAGGTAAGGGAAAACTGTTGTTATAATATCACACATGATAAACTGAGAAAATTCATTTGACAGTTTGTTAACCACTTGAGATTATGTCATTTTTTTTACTCTTTTTTTTGCAGAACAAAGAAACTTCTTACAAAATATCTTGCCAACTGATTTCATGTCACTAAAGTGTCATCATTGTTTCTTGGAACTGTAGAAAAGCAATGAATTTTTTACAAAAAGTGTACAGTATTTGTTCATTTTAATGTATGTTGTTGGAAAAGTATTTAGTCAAGAGTTAGATCCATTGGTAGTTCCTGCACAACATCATTCCTTCCTGTAATCTGAACAAGTAACTGTTTTGATTTCTTTCATCTGTCATAAACCATGCAATTGGCATACCCTCAGTATATGATATCCTCCTGCCAAGCCAACCACAGTACACTTCAAGTTTGGGAACCACTCCAGTCACAATGCACACAAATCTATGAATGCATTGGTACTATGCACACACACACACATATATATATATATATATATATATATATATATATATATATATATATATATATATATATATATATATATATAAAATGCATATTTAAATTATATATATATATATATATATATATATATTTGATCTCATCTATTAGGACTTCATTGGACTAAAGTGATGATTATATTGATGTGATTACAGTTTTTTTTAATAATAGAAAGGAAAAATTTAATTTAAAATTCAAATAGTTTTTTTTAAATATTAAAAAAATTTAATTTAAAATTTCAGCATTCCTTCTCCTACATGCACATGTGTAATCACAAAAACATCTGATGAAGTCCTAAATGATGAAAAGTGCCAAACGAAAAAAAAATTTCTGCTTTGTCATAGATTTTTTCTAATGCATGTATATATATTTCTAGAGTGATGCTAATGTTCTATTATTTTCCAAACAGAGTGTGTCTGTGTTTATAGTTGATGTTTTTGAGTGTTACCCTTTTCTTTCTTTATTATTAGTGCTTCCATTATTTTTAGTCTTTCTTTTATTTGGATGAGGATATTACACTTATACTTGTACTTACTACAAGTATATTGCAGATGGTGTTCAGTAGGTTTCATGTGTGTCTAAATGAGTCTTAATTGAGCTATGGTCAGAGAGATGTAACATGAGTCTTCTTGATAGGCATGTAGTGGTATGTCCAATAGAATTATTCATGAATTTGATTTGATCAGGAACATAGTTCCTTAAGGGGATGTGGATTTGTAAATAATATTGGTTTTCTGTAATTTAGATCTTGCAGGTGTGTTGCTATTGTTGATGATAGGGTTAGCTGTTTTAAAATTTTTATAGCAGATAATAAATTTAATTTTCTTGTTCTGATTGACTGGGCTTGTGTATTTCTTTATAATTCTTCTAAGAGAAAATTCATCTTGCTTATTGTTAATGTGTATTTGGCTTTTATAGAAAATGTTACTGTTATTGTTTTTATCTGCATGTTCCATGTTGATATTGGTTACCTTACACCTCTCTGGCCATATCTCAATTAAGACTCATTTAAACACACACAGAAACCTACAAAACTCCATCTGCAACACACTTGTGGAAAATACAAGTGTAACCTCATCCACATAAATAAAACAATCTATACACACACGCACACAAACATGCATGTGTGTGTGTGTATACATATATATGTAAGTATAATTATGCTGACATTACCTTGAATGAATGCTTCAGGGGAAGAAAATCTTCAATGGTAAAAGAGGCAAAAAATGAGTGAAAAAATATAAATAATGGAAAAGTGGTTTGGCCAATGTGCATGGAAAGAAAAAACCAATTGAGAAAAGGGAAAGAGTTTGCAAGAAAATGTATATAAAAAAAAGACAAGAAAATATTTTCACTGTTGAAGTTTTTCTTTACCCATTGAAGATTTCCAACTGTTTTAGGGCACTTGTACAATGGAAATCACTACCGAGAAAGGAAAACGCCACATAGCAGTTGAATCAGAAATATTTTCATTTTGTTTTCTTGCAAAGAGTATTGAAATGCTGGTTGATTACTTTGAAGAAGGCAACAAACATGAAGAAGCCAGTATCTTCACCAATCAGGGAAAGAAAAGAGCACATTGCACTGCATGCTGGTGTCAAATAAGAATGCAGACAAATGTGGGAAAGGCCAAGGGTAAATAAGACAATAAGCAAAGTTATGGTGAGATGGCCAGTCTGCACAAACAATGAGATGGCTAGGTCAACTAGATGGACAGTTGGTTTGGTTGGTTGGTTGGTTGGTTGGTTGGTCACTTGAAAGGCATTAACAAAAAGGTTAACATGTTTGCCCAGGGGCTAATTCACCAGCAAACTGTAAACAGTATTTCAGCAAAAAATGCTTATTTCAAAAATGTTAATTTATAATCAACACTTCCTGACATATTTTTTAATTTAACGAGAACTTAAAAGAATTGAAACAGTAGGAAAAATTATCTTTGGCCAATGGTCTGTTAAATGGAGTCAAATATGTTTTTATATTTCCCTCTGTGTCTCATTGTTGCATCATAACACATAAACAGAGAAATATTTTTTTAATATGAAAAATTATGTAAAACTGTATAAAATGGATGTTTCATAAATACAATTGCTAGAAATAAAATAAAAAATGTAATTAAACATAGATTACAATGTGCTTTGAAATTGACATTTTTTTTTTAAATGACTACCAGAAGTCATTTTCTGATTCAGGTTAGTCACTATGAATAGAAACAGTTAGAAATTGTTGGTTAGAGAAAATATGATTTTCACAGCTTAAAATTAAAGGTAATTTGTTTTTAAAGTAATTAATAAATTTTCTATAAATGCATAATAATATTTAATTTATTAAGTATTACTCAAAACCTTAACTCCAACTCTGGGAATTCATATTTCCTACAAAACCCATATGCATGCATATTTTGAATCAGATCTATTTCAATAAATGTCTGCTTTTATTAATGGCAGTTTATTATATTAATATTTTTGTTTTGGGAAGTAAATGTTTATTTTAAAACTTAAGCTGTTTTTTCTCCATAAAACACATGCGAAACAATAAGATATATTTATCTATGTCATAAAAATATAACAGCAATTTTAAGTATTGGATCATTGCAAAAGTTTTTGCATGATTTTCCTTGATTTTAATTTTCTAATCAGGCACAAACTTTTGCAATGATTTAATAATTTTACAAATGCATTTACTTAAAAAATAACAAAAACATTGTTGTTCCAGATTTCCTTATCTCAACTCAATACTTCCTGAATATGAAACTAAAGGTTAAATTAAGTAAAGATAACAATGAATTTTCTTCTTTGTCCCTTTGCTTATTTAATTACAGACAAATGCAATTTAAGAGTTCTTATAACACAATATTTCTAATATAAACATATTGTGGCAATAAAACACATTGGCATTTAGTATCATCAGTTTCTAATTTCAAAATGAAAATAAAATATAATTTAAAAAAATAACATTAAATTCTCTTTCTGCACTCACAGAGGAAATACACTTACACAGGGATGGGCAATTTGCCCATCTTCATATAGTACTGATGCAGAAAAAGTTTTACACACAGAAAATATTATCTCTGTATTATAATAGTTGTCACATTTGCATATATATTTCATATACTAAATATAACAACTATTATAAGACAGAATATATAGATATA